GGATCAGGAAAATGGATTGGGGGCGTGTTACTGGAAGCTCTGGAAGAACCTGGCTATCATCTCGTTCGGCGTACTAGGTTTTCTGACCGGTACCTACGTGAGCATCCAGGAGATTCTCGATGAGAATAAATGAAGCGCCGGGTTCGAAGGAGCTGCGGTGCGACGGAATANTCGCTCAGCGCGTACCATAGATGCCGGCGTGTCGTTGGACACCTTCCGCGCTCTCGTCGAGCGGATTCGTCGTACCAGAGGGGCGACGATCACGACCACCTGGAGGATGATGCCGCCGTCGCTACTGGGTCATCCAGTGTAACGTCACGCGGCCTGGCGAGCTCCGAACTTTTAGCAGCTTCGTCTCGCTCCTTCTTGCAATTTCTCTTCGCATCGATAGCACGACGACTGTAACGACGATGAAGACGTCAAGTAGTAGACGGGATCTACGATTAATTCTTTTGTTTTATTTTCTATTTTTTTTTTTTTTTTTTTTTTTTTTTTTTTTTTATTATATTATCTTGTTATTCTTATCGTTTCTATTAATTGTAAATAGATAAGAAGTCATTATGTTCAGGGGAGTTCGTGTATTTTTAATACGAGATATTATTATTTACAATATTGAATTATCATGAATTATGATGAATATTTTTATATTTGTATATTCGTCATTATGTATAATATATAAATCAGTATAATTTGAGACTCGTATTTTGAAAATATAATTAATTATGAAATGTGATAATTAATTATGAAAGTTTATTAAAAAACATGAATCAAAAGATTAAAACTTTTATCATGAAGAATATTAAAACGGTAAAATGAAGTGAAATAAGAAATTAATTTTAATTGTTTATCTTTAGCTATTGTATTTAATAAAAAATGATTCAAAAGACAGATATACACGAACTCTTTTTGTAGAAAGTAATATAGATTCGTCATCATTGCTTCATTTTTCTCTGCAACTTATGTAATCAATAAGAAATGTATGTCACATAGAATATGGCTTAATATGTATTATAGAAAGCATAATCAATTTTTACCGAATTATTACGTCAGAGTCGTCGCTACTGACGTCGCGCCGTACAACACCGTACGCCAAATGTACGGTAAGAATCATTAATGTGGCATGTTAATCTTTGAGTAGATAATTTCTTCGATTTTGAAGATTTAATTTTATCAGAAATGATAACATATTTCTCGTTTTTTTATTACAATGATTCATTTTTAATTAATTAAATTTGAAAATTCTATTATCATGCTATTCTCAAATTCGAAAAATAATTTTTAAGAGATGACAAATTTTCAAGTCTCAAAAAATTCTATGCAATTTAAATCCTTAAATTTTTCAAAATCCAATTTCTTAAATCATCGAAATTTAAAATTTTTAAATTTTTGCATGTTTCAAATTTCAAATTTTATATTGTTAAATTCTCAAACATTTTTTAAAAATTTAAAACTTAGAAATAAAATTTCAAATGTCATTTTAATAAGAAAATATTGAGAATTTCGTGCGACATTAATGACTTTTACCGCGCATCGCCATACGTTCGAGCGATTAACCGAGCAAAAGTCAATAGCACAACGTGGCTCGGAGTACCCGGATCCACGGGATGGTGGATTTCACGATACGCGTGATCCGTGCTAATAACTGAGACGAGTGTTATCATCAAGGACGTGGATGGAAGCGCCCTTTCTTTCTTCCCCATTTCTCTGTCTTTTATTATTTATTTAAGTTGCGTAGGCCGTACGCACGACGAAGTTTTTCCATCGACTTCACACAACTGCAGGACGGTTTTTTTTTCATTTTTTTCTTCTTGTTTTTAGTAGCGTATGTACGCATTAAGTTAATAGATATATAAATTATACTTAAGCGTCGTTTTACCTACGAACAAGGACCGTTCGCGTTTTATTTTTTTTTTTTATTATTTTTTTATATATATATATATGTATATGTATATATATATATATATATACACATATGGCTTTAACGTGCGTTCGTTCAATTTTACCGCGACGAGAGTGATTTGTAAGATAAAAAGTTTCCAAGTTACTCATCGATTGAAAAAATATTTATTATATTATATATATTATATCTAATATATAATAATGATTAATTTAATTAATGATAAATTTTTTTGTAATAATTAATTTTTTTCAAAAATTTTAATAATTTGAGTTGAAGTCTATAAAAAATTTCAAGGATTGGAATCGAAATTTTTTTATTTAGAATTAAAATTTAGGACAATTTTGTCAATTAAAATTAAAATTTGATAACATTTTATTGATAAAAAAAAAATAACGCTTTAGAAGATCGATTGATTTAACTGGAAACTGTCCATCTGTTCCTAGTGCACATTGTACGAAAAGAGACGAAAGAAGACGTGCAAAAAGTGATTGATTGAGGATAAGAGACAGAATGGCACGTAGGTGTGATAAATATCGCGATGTGCACGCTTACTAGTCTGTAAGAAGTTTAGTGAAAGACATCGATGATGACACGCTATGCATCATCATAATCGAGATTAAAATATAAATTGGACCTTTAACTTGACTTAAAGAAGCTCAAGTCTAAATTAACTGAAAGGCGCACTTTCATCGATGAGAATAATTAAGAATTTATATAGAATGAACAATCAATTTTTCGAAGATTGTCAAATTCTTATAAATTCTTAAAAAAAAATTATAAGAAAGAAAATCACTCATTTCATTATGGATTAGATTTTGACAAATATTTTGCAGGACAATAAAAATTTTTTATTGATAATAATAAAAAATTAATAATTTTTTCAAAAAATAATATTAAGATTTAAAAAATTTGTAATGACCCATTTCTTGTGTATTCCATTTTAAATTAAAAATTGATTTATTGATAAAATTTAAAATTGTTTGATCGTAAAAAAATTAACGAAATTGGAATAATTCGGCTTTTATTCGAACTTTATATTCTCAAGAATTACTTATATTTACAAAGTAATATGCTTCACAATACGTGTTACATTACAGCGATAGGTTATGAGTGCACGATCGTTTTTCGTTTCGATCATTTTCGATCGTTGTTCAAAAAATTCTTGTTGTGTATATTTCGAAGATACGCGATATTGTTTTTTTAGTGCCTTGATTCTTTTTTTTCACAGAAATTGTATATAAATATAAGACTGGATCTTATAAAGACAGAACAGAATGTATGACTAAATATGTTGCAAATTGAATATCTATGGAAATATTTAAAAAATTTATAAATCGTTGAATTTTATTCAATTTGAAAATAACTTAATTATTCAAAAAATATATATAGATAGTGCACTTTTTTTTTAATTTATTAAAAGTTTTATTTAAAAGCATTTTTGTTTATTTTTAAAATGATGATTAAGATATTAATTAATTAATTGTTTTATATATTTTATATTTACGAATTATCTTAAACAATTATTTAAACAAATAATCGAAATTTTCTTATGATAAAATAAGATCATATCTTAATATTAAATAAAATTCAAAAAATAATAGATTTTTATTTTTTAAAATATCAAAGTCATTAAATCATAACATCTTTAATGATACATTCTACATGTTAAAAAATTAGAATCTAAGTCTCGATATGTTCTTTTTTTATCTTAGAACAATTTAAATCATTTTTCAACCGTGTATGTTGTATGAAAACAGAAAATATCATAAAAAGATCATCTTAAGAAGATATTATTAAACAATGCACGGTAGTTATTGCCATTTTCTTAAAATCTTAGTATCACGTAAATATGTTTTATTAAGAACAGGGTAGAAACAAATTACAATTTTTTTTTTCTTCCGAGCCATAGAAGACTGCTAAATTTCGCCAAGCTTCATCCATGTTTTATCATCTTTTATACTCGTCCAATCTTTTTACATCATGTATTATTTCTTTATATACATATATATATATATATATGTATATATATGTATATATATATGTATATATATATGTATATATACAACATTTTGTATAAGAAAACATACATACAGATAATTCAAAATAATAATAGAATGATTTTTCTTTTCAATAAAATTTTATTGTTAAAAGATTCTTTAGATGGAATCATAATGTATTTAAAACGAAAAAGTAAATAATGAATATGCCATTTCGCTGCCTTTTTATTCTGGACTTCCACAATGAATTGTGCGCTATGTGGGAATGATTGCCGCTCAAAGAATATCATTTTACGTGCATACGTATTTCATGCACTTCATCAATTTTTGTCAGTCATTGTACCAAACAATGTTATGGATATTTAATACATAACGATTTGCAAAAAAAATATTATTTTTTATTTAATATTGTTTGCCCTTTCTTTTTTAAAATCGATTTGCAATTTTTATCAAAAAATATTTTAAATGTATTTCATCTGTGATAATATGGTATAGATAAAGTAAAGATTAAAACACATTGTAATTTTGAAAGAGAAGTGCTGAAAGATTCAATTTATATCTTTATTGTAATTACGTGTTAAAAGATAAGTAGGCCAAACATAGGGTAAAAACTGAGAAATCAGTATTATCTCTTGAGTGTTAAAAATCCTTTCTTAAAAATATTCAAGAAATGGTACTGAAGTTCAATTCTTATCCTATCTCTATGCTATTTTTACTATTTACTCTCCTTATTTACATTCTTTAAAATTTTACGATTGAAATATATTCAATTAATAAAATTGGCAAGTAAAAATAAGGAATGTTTACAATTTCTAAATTAAATTATTATGATTAAATAAAACATGATGTTAATAATAAAATTCTTAATATTATATTATAAATAATAATAATAATTATAAATAATAAAAACTTAACATAATAAGATAATAACAAAGAACATAATAATAATTACTTTTATATATTTACTTACAAAATAAATCAGGCGTATTTAATATTATCGTTTAAAAATTATATATTTATATACATATATAAAAGAAATGTATATAATTATAAAAATAAAATTAAAATGAATTTAAAGTATTATTGTATCACATCATGTAGTAAGATATATGTATTTAAACATTTATAAACATAAATCTTTACAAATGATTCTTATTGTTGAATAATTTAGAAAATGGAAACTACGTACCAAAATGAAAACTACGTGTGTTCCGAATAGCACATAGAAATTCAGCTTAATGTTCATGTCTAAGACGTGATTTTAGTAAAATAGCTGAAATGACAGTAAAAATTTATATTATCAAGTGACAGGATATTTCATATGATTTGAATTTTTTCAAATAAACATATTAATTCTTTGTTTTAAATATACAATAATTATCCCGATTTATATATACAATCTTAAGAGAACATAACCATGTTAAACGATGTACCAAAAAGATTATCACGAAGCTCTGAAACAACTGAGGTACGTCTATACAACATTATATGTTTATATATAGATAGATAACAAATTGACAATCAAAATTTATAAAAATTAAATATTGAAGTTAATTTTTATTCATAATATTGTCATTTTACATATCAATAATGAAATATTTGTTATAAATAATAATACAATGTCCATTTTCTATTACATATTTTCTTTTCACACAATCCTCACATTTTTAAATTGTTTTATTCTATTTATTTTCAATTTATTTTTTAATAGAACTTATATAATATTTATTTATGCATTTCTGGTCAAATTGTTTTAAATAAATATTACTTAGTATTCTAATAAAAATACGTATATAATGTCCATCTCTAATTATTTGTAGCCCTCTGTCGAAATTTTTAATAACGTATCTGTTCTAAGCAGAAAGCGGGAAATATGATTTAATAAAATATGAAATTTAAATATATTACAAAATATTTTTAGGTTGATGTTCGCGAAGATGAAGAACAAAAAAAGAAATTTCAAGATATTATTGATTTACTTTTAGCAGCAGGCTATTTTCGAGCTAGGATAAAAGGATTATCAAACTTTGATAAAGTATGTATAACATAAATTTTAAATTTAAATTTTAAATTTAAATTTTAAATTTAAAAAAAAATTTATTAAAAATAGCAAACATTATTGTTATATTTAGGTAATTGGTGGAATGACTTGGTGTATAGAATCATGTAATTTCGATGTAGATATCGATTTATTGTTTCGAGAAAATCTTACTATAGGCCAAAAAATGTAAGTAAATTTGTAAAATATCTTGATTTTTTAATTTCTTACATATTTTATATTTAGTTCATTGACCGAAAAAATCGTGGCTATGTTACCCAAAATGAACTGTCCATATCGCATAGAACCACATCAAATTCAAGGTTTAGATTGTATTCATATTTTCCCCGTTATTCAGGTAAATAATTTTATTTCTTGAATTTTTAAATTTTTATAAACATTTTAATAACTAATAATTATTTTCAGTGGTTGGTAAAGCGTTCCATGGAAACTCGAGAACAAACGGCAGATTTTGTACGGTCGTTTGCTTTAAGTCAGTTTAATAAAAAACATTCTTTTTCTGAAGATTCATATACAACACAAGTAGTTAAAGAAAATTTAATAAAAAATATTCAATTGATTACGGTAAAACAATTTTTAAATTATGATGATAATGTAGATAAATTTAAATAAATATTTAAATTATCTAAATAAAAAATTAATAATTAATCTATTATTATATAATCTATTAATCTAAATAAAATTAAAAATTTATAATTATATATTAATAATTTTTTTTTAGAAATCATATGAACCTCGGCGTCTCTTTAAACAGAAAGATGACGCTAAAAGAGAAGAATCTACTAAATTCCTTAGTACTGTTTTGGAATATGAAGCACCTTTGTATTCTATAAAAATTGCTACTTCGCCAACCGAAACTATTTCAAGTGATCTTAAAGAAGATGAGAATAAAGAAAAATTAAAAGAAAAAGTAAATAAATTATGTGAATAAATAAAATTTATGATTTTTTCAATGTTTTTCTTTATAGGAAAATACAGAACAATTAGCTGGAAATTTAGCTGCTATTGAAGAAAATTCAGTAAGCAATTATATTATTATAATCGATATTAATTAAATAATATTAATTATTTCTTTATATAATATTTTATTCATTTAGACTCGTTTAAGCGTAACGGCAGTAGGCAATATTGTTGGCATTCAAGCTCAAGAGATTGCTAAAGTAGCTGAGAAGTATGCAACGATGTCGACATCTGAAATTGAGGTAAATTTTTTCAATTTTAAATTTAAGATAAATTTAATTTATAATTAAATTTTACTAATGATATTACTTATTATAGGAAACTGGTGGTACAAATTCTTCAGCAGCTTTGATTACATTAGAAAATCAAAAGATCATGCTTCAAAATCGTGTTCGTAAATTAACGAAAGAAAGAGACATCTTATCCGCTAAACATTTAGAATTGATTGAAAAATTAAACGAATCTCGTGCAAAACGTCAAGATATTGAACGTTCATTAAAGAAGGCACAAGAATTGGATATCAATGAAAATGATAGGTAATTATCTTTTTATATTTTGTATAATTATCATTATCGTATAATTTTTAATTAATAAAAAAAATATTTTTTTAGTATCTATAAACGTTTGGAAGAACTTCTTTTAGTACATGATGGTTTAAAAGAACAGGAATTTAATTTCCGAGAACAATGTAAATCTGATTTAAATCTATTGAAAAATAAATTGCAAGAAATCGAAAATGGTACATCTGAAGAAGAGGAAGATCGTTTAAAGGAGTATGAAGAGCAAAAGGAAGCAGTTATGAAAGTCAGATTACAATTAGCCAAAAAGAATAGAGCTATTGCCTCCTTAACTAGACAATTGGATGATGTTCCTGGCCGTTCAGAACTTACGCAATATCAAAGACGATTTATGGAACTATATAATCAAGGTTTGCCAATCTATTTTTATACATCGGTATTCGGTTTTTTATTAGATGATTGCAATATCGTTTCATTATTATTTATTAACTTACAGTTTCGGCAAAGCATAAAGAAACAAAACAATATTATACATTGTATAATACTCTCGACGATACGAAACTTTATTTAAGCAAAGAATTATCATTATTAAATTCGATCCAAGATAATTATAACGAGTAAGTAATAAAATTTTATATTTATTCATAATTACGCATAATTTGCATAATTATAGATGTATTTTTTTCTTTCACATTTTCAGAGCAATGGCATCAGCAAGTGGCAAAGAGGAATTTCTTAAACAATTCGAAGCAATCGTCGCAGGTGTTAAACGCAATAAGACAAAGGTAAAAAAATAATATCTTCTAAATATAAATACATTTTATAAAAAAAAAAGCAATTAACTAATGTTGGAAAATATAAAATTACAAAAAAAAAAATAGAATTAGTCTATAAAATTAATTTTAAGGTAAAGTATAGAGTTATATTTTGATAAGAATATAGATCGCGTTTCATAGGTAGAAAAACGATGTGCTGATGAAAAAAACAGGAGAGATGCACTCAGCCGACAACTGGTTACTCTAATAGAACAACAACGCAAATACGTTGCTGCGGTCAGGCAACTCACTATTGAATGTCGTAAAAATGAGGCCTTGCTTGCACAATTGCGTGGTCCGTAAATATAGATTTAATTTCTATTTATTATAGAATATATAAAATCCTCGTATTTTTGTCTCTTAATTGTTTATTTCATCAATATGAATTAATATCGTAAAAAAATTATGTTAAAGGAATGGATATGTGATCTGAACAATACAATAATCCTTAAAGTTGAGAGCAAGACTGCGAGGAAGAAATAAGATAGCAGCTTTTATTTATATTCATACTGTGTATACATCATTAATATATATTAAATTTTTCTTATTTTAGATACATATTCGAGAGAATAATTTATTGTGAAATTAAAAAAAAAAATTTAAGATCGAACCATTCCTTTATTCCTTACAATATTACTTTTATATGAGAATATATGAACTTGAAATAATTATTTTTACTTACCTTCTATCATTCTTACATATTATTGTATACAATGACATACGGATAAATTCGCGTCAGAAATTAATGCGAATATAAGGTTGAGATTATATTTAAAAAAATATTTGTAGCATTGTAGATATCGCAATCGAAACAGTTGTACAATTTAAAATAGTGAATTGCTAAAGGCACATGATGTAACTTACGTATTCATCGTAAAATATAGATGAATGCAATATACATTATATACACACCTTTGAGACAATTTTAGGTCGATTATAGATTGCTTTCTGTTTTTCCTTTCATGTTCAGCAAATCAAGTATTTTCTTCATTGCATCATCAGAGCCCTCTTCATTCGTTGCTTTATATTGGCTATCGCCATTGTTCCTTTCATAGTGCTTATGTGTTCATGTTTTCTTCGTCTGGTCAAGGATCTATCGTAGCCATTATCGGTGTACGGTGATCAGTGATATCTTTGTTAACGTTTTTTTAGAATGTAGCGGGTATTTATCGCGACATTTTGGAATAGATACGTAATATGACAATTGCATCGGATAGGAGAACTATTCGTTTGAACTTGTTCCTTTCAAATTAAAGGAACATGTGCTATTTATTCGGTGGCTATTAATGTGATTTACATATATGAAAGAAATATTGCGCGTAAAATGGCAAAAGACGAAGGAGACGACCTCTTACCAGACAAGGATGCTGCTAAGGGATTTTATGCAAAATACGAACCCAAAGAAATCCTTGGAAGGTTCGTCATATGATATTTTATATAAAAAAAATATATAATATAATATTTTTATTTATTTAATAAATACGCATATATGATTATAAATATGTTTATATTATTAAATTGATACATTGCATGACAATAAATAAATGAAGAAATTAGTAACTTCTGAATAATAACAATTAACCTATACAATTATATAATTTGATGAAATTAAATACGTTCCATTCAACTACGATAACTACGATATATATTTATATAGTTTATATTGATAAAATATATTTTGAAAAAATTTCGAAATAATAATTTGGTACAATAGGACAGTGCATAATATTTTGAAATATTATATGAAAANTCATTTTTTAAATATCCTATACTTAAAATCTTTAATATTAATAAAAAAATTTAATTTTAAAATTTAATTTAAAAAATTAGTTTTTTTTATTGATTATAAATAAATATTATAAATTAAGTAATATATTAATATTTACAGAGGAATATCTTCCACTGTAAGAAGATGTATAGAAAAAGAAACAGGTATAGAATATGCAGCTAAAATCATAGATATTAGTAATGAAAACGAAGATGGACATACTATGAAGGATGCCACATTACAGGAAGTACAAATTCTTCGTAGAGTAGCGGGTCATCCTTATATTAGTAAGTTTATTAATATATTAATAAAAAATATTAATTACTTAATATAAATAAAATGAAATTATTTTTTTGCATTATATTTTCTTTGTAAAAAATTTATTTTTCATTAACAATACACAAATTTTTTTTAAAAATATTTGTATTTATTTTTTAGTTGAATTACATGATGTCTTTGAATCTAGTACATTCATATTTTTAATTTTTGAAATTTGTAAAAATGGTGAATTATTTGACTACCTCACATCTGTTGTTACTCTCTCTGAGAAAAAGACACGTTATATTATGAGACAAGTCTTTGAAGGTGTTCAGCATGTACATAATCAGGGGATAGTTCATAGAGATTTAAAACCAGAAAATATATTACTTGATGATAATTTAAATGTAAAAATAACTGATTTTGGATTTGCTAGACTATTAAAAACTGGAGATAAATTATATGGTATGTAATAATTATATAAAATTCAAAATTTTTTATTA